TTATCTAAATTTATTAATTCATGTACGTACAATACGTACTTGTAAATGTCCATGTTTGCAACTTGGCAATGTTTACAGTACATTGCGGACTCTTTATTTGTGAATGTGGTTTGCTCTAAGACATTATAAAATAAAATGATTTTGTAAGGTTAAATAACAAATACAGTTAGTTTATTTTGTACTGTCGCAAGATAATTTTAATAATTTATATTAAATTTACCAATATCAAGTGGCGCTGACAACGATGCCAAATGGTAGATATTGAAGCTATTGTGGAAAACACCAATATTGAGCACTTAAAGACCGCTAAATAAGATGACAACACAGAAACACAATGTTTTCGTGTTTTGTTCTCTAGGATTTATGATGATATATACATTTACAGTAAATGTTAATATAATTTTAATATGATTTTATGTGCTTTAACACTTTTATAGTGATATTACGACTTCAATGTTTGTGGCGGACAAACAAAGTCGAATAAAGTGACTTATATGGAAAAATAAAAATCAAGTTTATTTTTTGACAAATGACATATAATTGAGAACGACATAACTAGAGGTATACCCATAATTGTATAACATTAAATAATGTTAAATATAGGATTAGTTTCACAGCACTACAATTGACAGATGACTTAGAGACTAAACTCTCTATGTAACTGGAAATCACTGTATATTGTACTTTATGAAATGTACACTAAGCTACAGTACAATGCTATATGTTCTAGGTAAATTTTTTTAAAAACTACATCATATAATCAAGTTTCCAATGTATATTGATTTTAAATAAAAAAATCATGGAAACTGGATGTCTTCCTGTAAGCAATATCAATCAAGTAATAATAGAATTGTTTGTGACTGACAATTTGTAAAATCTTGCTAGCTAACTGGAACAGAAAAACTCTTCTTTCAAACATTATGAAACATTTATGCACTTTGATATAAAATAAAACACTTTATGATTGCAATGATACCAAAAAAGAATAAGCATTAGAGATCTGAAGAGAGAGAATGCTATTGGACTGGTTTTTTGGTCAGAGATTTTGAATGAGAAGAATAAATTAACAGTATAGAGAAACTTGACTTATACAATTAGAACAATAATAGATGTAGACTTCTTTAGTAATAAAATTTGTCATTTCTTGACTGTTTTTAAAACTAATTACAAATTAAATAATTTTGAAACATTAGGGAAAAAGTAATGAAAGTGTTTTCAAATTGCATGAATTTATTTCAGGATATTGGTATACCTTCCTCTGGGGATTGTAAATTTACTGACTTTTTCATTTACCGGTAATTCGGTACATGAAAATTAAAATACCAGTTTTCCAGTAAATTTTTTCTTGAAAAATAACATTTTTTATCACCTTAATTTTATTATGATTTCCATTTCACATTTTTATTTCAAAGATATCAAATATAAAAATTAAAGTGTTATTCTAAACAAACTATAATAATAAATAGAAATAAAATAATACAACAAAAATAATATATGGTACCTAATACCATTTTATTGATTACCATTTTTTTTTTAAATTAACTTCTCAAGAAACTTAAATTATTTATAGTCTTATCTCCTAATTTTTGTACAAAATAATCCTGATCCCGAGAATACCCTTTCTGATTCAACACTTGTTGGACAAATGGTCATTAAATTAAAATTAAACAAAAAATATCTCACATAAAATTAATAATGAGGTATATTGTTGCTTACACTTACCTATTTTTTTTTTTTTTCAATATCCCTTTAGCCCTTTTAAATATCTATAAACACAATATTTTCTACATAGAAATTTCTAGTATGGCTTTTTTATTTACCGAATTACCAGTAAATTTTTGAAATTTACTGGTAAGTTTATCAAATGTTTTTTGTCAATTTATCGGTAGACCAACCTTTCTCTAGTGTTAAATTTGTTAATAATAATTTTCTGATCATCTTAAACCAAACTGTCTGATTTTATTCCAATCTGATAGTATTTGAAAGATTAATTAATCAATCTTAAAAATGTGTAAACAAGAATCACACAGTACTGAATACTTTTTCCAGTTTGGCATCTTTCCATTTTGAACAAGTGTTTTTTACATTGAAAATTGTTCTGTTACAAAGAATTTTTTCCATTTAGACGGGTTTCTGTTTTGAACAGGTTTTACTATATTATATAAACCTATACATTAATAAAATGATTTAGTTATCTACTTTGATAAATGTGGAATAAAACAAAATTATTTTTTCATTTTGTGTATATTATCATCATGTTATGTGTAGTTAAAAATTTTATATAATTCAGTAAAAAAATCTAATTATTGTTTTAGTTAATTCAGTAGTTGTGTACATTGCTTCTGAGGTTCCCCATCTCTCTTATTTCCCTCTTCCATCCCTTATCAGTAAGTCTCATACATGATGGTGCTTCTTGTGTGGTTCAAATGGTTCCTGTGAGCCAAAATTTACAGATGACATTCACATCATGTCATTTTGTAAACAGAATTTTTATCTGTAAATTTAGTTAGATAATAGCAGATTAAAAACCATTAGTTTTTTGATGATGATAAAATAAGTTTAAAATACTTGTTAAGTATTAAATTATTAAAACATCAAAAATTATTAATGTTTGAAAGAAAATACTAATGAATTTAGGATTGTCAAATAACTGGCCAAAGAACTATAATAAACATAAGTTTTAAATACATCATCAAATATTGCATATGCACTAAAATTTGTCATAAACTTCATAGTTTATCATGTGCTAATAACAAAATTAAAATTTGTGGTGCATGATACCACATTACAGCTAGTGCATTACTGCATTCCAAAATATTGTCAAAATCATTTACTGACAGGTTGTTTTTGCAATATAAGAATGCAGATCATCTGATTTTGGTACTGAGTGTACAAATTCTACTCTTAACATAGTCAGCTTGAAAAATTGTTCACTATTCCTCATTTTGAAGAAGTACAAGAGCATTTCTTGTAGTTCTTCAAAATGATTCTGAAAGAAAGTTTGGATCTGGAAGAAAAGCTTGCATGAAAATTTTCACTTAGAGGAAGATCATTGGGAGCAGCTGTTCAAAGGCATTATTGCCTTTGAACAGATCAATTCAACAAGTTTCTTCAAAAAGTTTTGTCCACAAAGTGATGAACATCAAATATTAGTACCAGTAGGAATACTTTTTTTAGTCTAACAAGTGAATTCATTTGGCATCTGCAATTGGATTATGCTTTGTCAGAAAACTCACTAATCTTTCCTTTGTCTTAGACAGTGAATCATATTTTACTTTGTCACAATCAATGATTGGAAGAAATAATGATGTGTAAAGTTATATCTAAAATTTAAATACATCTGGAAGCAAATGCTTACTTTAGATCGGGTGGCACAACTGGCAAACAGAAGTCAAGGATTCAAGCCCTGCCCTGGGTCAGTTGTTTTCTTCCCAATGGTTCTGAATTATTTAATAAATTATTATTTTAGCTAAGAAATGCACCTAACATCTAGTAGCAAATTACTTAATATTAATCATTAAATTAGCAGAGTTATAACCTGATTATTTAGGTGATCATTTGGTGATGTTTGATATACTGAACCATCAATTTTGTATTGTATATTCTTGTGGATAATGTTTTCTAAAAGATAAAATAACTTAGTTACAAATGTAGAAAACATTCTAAGTTTTATTCACTGTTAATTTTTAATTGTTAGTTTTAGGAATTGATTTGATATTAAAGAAATGAAAAACTAAGAACTCCAGCAAAAATGAAAAATATTTAATGATAAACAAATGTTTTCAATAACTTTAGCTATCATCATCAAATTAAATATGTTTGAAAAAGAAAGCAGGAGAATCAAAAGTTTTACTGGAGTTTGGTTTTTTATTCTGGAGTTTTTTGGTTTGTGTTATGCATTGACACATAATAATATCGATACAGTTTCTGTGTTATTATTCAGAGTTTATTTGACATTAGTGATAGAATAATTTGTAAGGTTCAGAGTTTGTAAATAAAAAAAAATGCACATAACACACACTTTATGAAACTAGACATGCTAGTACCAGAATTTCTGACTATAAATAAAATGTTACAATAATTAATATAGGATTCAAATATTACAGTTTCAATTTAGTTATTACAATAAATAAAATTGATTAGTAAAAACTACAAGTATTCAATATCTCAAACAAGTTGTCTGATTAGCAAAAAGAATCTAGCAGAAGAAAAAACCGTATTTATTGTTGTGTTCTAAATAAACTTAATTATTATTTAAAATAATAATAACAAAAAAATACAAATATTAACCACTGACCAAACTGGTACAATAAAAATAATTAGTGTCAACAGTTTTTCTTGTACATGCAATTTAATGTTTCAAGATTTTTGCATAGTGTATATGGATACACTATGCAAAAGTCTTGAAACATTAAATTAATACTTCACAACAGCAGAAAATTTTTAAACATGAACAGTATGTAAACATAATTGCTTGTTCTGCAGTTATGACTTGACTCTGTTCTGGCTTAGTGCTAGGCACTGATATATACACCATGTAGGATAAACTCCATCATCATAATAATAAAATTTATACATACCTAGTAAAAATACAAAAAACAAGCTCATTACAGTTGGTCAACACCACTTTGAATCCAGAGAACCCTTATAACAATACCTCTAAAATAAAACATTAAGAACAAGATTTATAAAAATAAGAAGTGAAAGTATGTAAGAAATTTACATTTTATTGAGTGACTAAAAGATAATCTTTTCTAAATAATCAAAACTAATATTTTGTTACTAATTATTAATTTATATTTCTTTAATATTTTTATATCAGCAGTGATCTGTTTATATTCATTTTAGCAAAAAACAATTATTTTCCCATATAATTTTAATTTTCAGATTTGATGTATAAGCCTGAACAATTTTTTTTCTAACTTATGTTTTTATTATTTATGTTTTTCAAATATTTGATTAGAAAATTTATTTTCTGTATGCTACTTTTTCTTTTTAAGTAAAATCCTCTATCAGCGATAATAAAATAATCCATAAAAGATCATCGGACAATATTCAACTAACAGCTATAGCAGCAGGTGAGATCATCATTAAAGAGGATAAGAAATTAAAAATTTTGTTGGTAATGTCCCCAAATTCTGCTGTAAAAAAAATTTTTTTTTGTTTAGAAAAGCTTTTTAAGAAGTTGAATTTAAAATTTATTTTTGTGTTATAATTATTTAATTTTTATTACTTTTCTATATAATTATTTGTTTTTTTAATTATTTTCACAAAATATTAAAAGATTATTTTGATTTTCCAGATAAAGATGTGGAATATTAAATATGACTTTTTTAAAAGATGTCATTTAAAAATATATTTTTATGAATTATCAATAAGATAAATATCAAGCATCCAAACATTCCAAACTGTTCACTTTATACAATGTATGTCCATATTTAATCGAAACATTATTCTTTGTTCTTATATATTAAATTATGTTTAAATAGAAAAACTTTTATGAATATTTTCTTCCATAAAATCCTTTGGTACATCCCATATTCAAAATAATTATACAAATCTAAAAAATTGAGATACTGAAAAAATATTGGCTGTAACTTCATTTCTACATAGTTATTAAAATCAAAGTATAAAACAATTAAAAAATATATAAGACTTAATTAAAGAAGTCCACTAAAATTACAATTTCATTTAATTCAGATTCTTTTGATGTGAATTGGTTGTTAACATGTGCCAATATGATAATCATCTTCAAATTTATTATATCATCTTCAAAGCTTTATTATAAAACTATACAAAATCAAGAACAATATAAACACTTTACTTTACCTAATCTCATTGCCATATAGATGATAAAATTATATTTGACAAACAGAATTAATCTTTCATCATGTTATTCTTTAATTGATCTTATTTCTTATAACCTAATGACATTTATTAGGTATGAGACATTTTCAGTTCAATATTGAGTCATCTTCAGCTTACATACAAAAAATAAATGTAAAACAAGTTCAGAAGAAAATTGTATTGCGAGTATTGATAATTGAAAAGTTTTGAAAAACTAGGAATTCTGATAAAAGAATCATTTTAAGATTAACATATTATTCAAAATAGCATTGTACAATTAAATCCAAAATTTTATATTAAAAAGTATACTAAATTAACAAAATACAAAGGTAGTAAGTGTAAAGTTATTTATCTACTTGGGGGTTTGGAAGAAGGTGCTAGATAAATATAAAGTTATAAGTTATTATTTTGTAAAAAGGAGAATAATTAGTGGATTATGTTTAACTAGTAGCCCGGGACGCCCCCTAGTGGGTGTTCTTTACAAATTTCCATCAGGCACGGTTCCTTTGACTTTTTTGTTCCTATCAATATGCTGTACAGCTCTGTTAAAGTACCAATGGTAAGATTTACCCTTCGAATGAAGAGGTGGCGACCCCCCCAAACTGTAGCCCGTGCGAACAATAAAGTCAAAGGAACCATACCCCTACTCGCGATCCTTCGCGAGATATAAGCCCCTGAAATAATAAATTCCTATTACAAATATACTGAATTATTTATATTGTTATATTGACCAAATAATAATTTATGGGCCAAATGAATAATAATAATTCATATTGTTAATTTAAATAAGAATAATATTGTTAATTTGAATGTTTGAAATATGACACACGATAGGGGCGCCTCTAGTGTCCGTTATCAAACGGTTACGGGACAGACGGACACTTTGAATGGGTTATATATATAGATTTAATTAAAGGATCTTTAATTAAATCTATATATATATAACCATCTTTAATACAACAGTAAATTATAATGAATTAATGTTTTGATCTTAATCAGCCATTACTAGGTTTGAACTAAACAAGATATTACATTTCAGAATATTGAATGCATGAGACAAATGAACTCATACATAGTTTAAATTGAAAAGAATTGAAAAATTGACAAAATGTTTTTTGGTTAAATATGCTTTTTCTTATTATAAAAGAAATATTTATTTTAAATTTTTAAGAAATAAAAAAAATTTCCAAATGAATATATTTTTTTAATCATTTTTGTTATTAAAACTGAAAAAAAAAATGAAATGTTAATGAAAAAATGTTAATTCTGAAGTTAAAACTCCGAAGTTTGTTATCCTTTGTCTCAGCTTGTTTATAACTGGATGATCTTGAGAACAGCTGGTGTTGTCTTTCCCAGAATGTTTACACCTAAGGGGATGACAAGTCTAAAGTAGGGGTGAATACTAGCTGGCGGTATATTTCTAAATATTTTGCAAAAATTACAATTTTTATTGCAATTTCTGTCCCCCTGACCTAATTAAACATGTATATAATAAAATCTATTAAAACATTAAAAAACTATTGGGATGCCATTTTTGACATCAGAACGTAGCTTTAAATAACTTTACCAAAGTAAAATCCATTAAATAGAACCTTAGAATGATGACTGTAATTTGATATCAAACTCCCATTAAAAAACAATTAATCTTTAATGACGTGCAATTAACATGTAATTAAAATTGCTATAAAACTTTTTTGTGCGGGTAAAAACTTTTTTAATTCCGCAAAGTTTTCAAAACATTCTAATAAAATTTTTTCGGAGGAGACTGGCATTAAGTTTTTTGGCCTCTTAACGCCCATGCCCGAGTTATCTCGGGATTGGTAGGAAAGTTAATCCTCTATGAAAATTGTGCCCACCAGTTGCTGAACAGATAAAAATCATTGAATACTAGTAGTTGGTTATGGTTCATGCCTCACCAGTTGGCTGGCACATAGTACAAATGTGAAGAAAACCTGGAAAAGTATCTAAATAGGGGGCAGTGTCTCGTAGAAAGTCCTCCTGGGAAGCATCTCCCTCAGCAGATAACACATTGCTGTGTATAAAGAAAGAAACTAAGAAAATTGCTTATTAATCTACCATTTTCTGATAAAATTGCCAATTTTTTTCATTTAATGATTTAATTACGCATTGTTTTTGATTTTTGAAATATCTATTAAATATTTCTATTAAATAAATCACTGATTAAGAATACAGTAACACCCCGAACTTACGCGATAGGTGGGATCGAGCGGTAACCGCGTAAGTCGGGGTATAATTTCCCATATAAATACATACAAATAATTTTTAATTGGGGCCGGAGACTAAAGAAAACAATAATTTAGAAAAAAATGTTTAATAAAATCTTACATAATACATATGTATAACAAATTAGGCCTATATTATTTTACAATTTTTCACATTTACTTGATTATTACGCCATAATTTTAACATTGTTTCCATCTCAGCGATAATACTGTGACGTTTACCAATGATGCTTGAATTTAAAGATTGAGCATTTTTCACAGCTTCGAGAATTTTTTTCTTTGCCTTTTATAATTGTTCTGTCCGACAATTCCGGTAGATCAAACTTCTTTGCCAATTCACAAATTTTCATTTTTGTATCGAAGTCTTTAATAATGGGTACGTTCGTAAAGTCAAACGAGTTAAACGCGTTAGTAACGAATCGTTCGAAAAGTCTAACGAAATAGGAATAACGATGACGTCATTCTCGTTTAACTCGTTCGACTTTACGAACATACCCAATGTTAACTTTACATTCCAAAGATAAAGCTTTTCTTTCCTTGTTTGATGCAGAAGAATTAGTTCTACTTCATTTGGATGACATAGTAGAGTCTCTCGAGTCTCCGTAGATATAACAAACACAGAAATAAATAACACAAAATAAATTGTAGCTATGTGTGGATTCCACGCGACACAGCCGAACATGTAAGTTGAACAATAGTATGGGGGTAGTGAGTAATCAAGGATTGCATGGCGCTCAAACAAAAGACGAATCGACGAGATTTGAAAATCGCGTAAGTCGGGGTATTACTGTAATAATAAAATCAAATCTTCGGTTATTAAAACTAACTATGTAGTAAAGTAGTAAACTATAATCAGTTTATTCCTAAAAACAAACAAACAAGGATCTATAATCAGTGTGCTTTTAAAGTAATATACTTTAAAAGCACACTGATTATAGCATTAATTTAGATAATATTGATTCTAGAAATAAAAATAAGCTAGTGTATATTCTTAAATTCTGTTGGTTTAACACATTCACAGCGTCAGTAGATAAACGTTTAGGCAGCTGCTGGGTGTTACAAGTCACCTGTGACTCGTACTATTAAATTAATATTTTATTGCACCTAATAAAATAATATTGATATATCAAGTATGACGTTTGTAGAATTATGTTATCAAAACATATGTGCCGCCCCATGGAAAAACAAGCAATTATGTCTATAGCTCTAACTAGACATGTCCATACCAGTCATATGTACCTCGTAATGCTGTGAACGTGTTACTCATGTTTTAGTAGCATTAAATTCAATAGTGATTGATTTATTAGTTATTAAGAAAACTGTTAACTATCATATGATAAAAACTTTATTTTAATTAGATTTGTGCAAGATTTATTGTCAATTCATTTGAATTTACTTTTGCTATTTCTTAAAAATAAATTACAAATGGAAAATATCAGAAGTCTTTTTAACATAGTACTGCTTTACAATTAGCAAATGATTTTCTTTTATTAAAATATTTTCTTGAGTATTCATTTCTTCCTTCAAATATATTAAACAGTATTTTTGTAAAATTATTTACATAAATGCTTTTCTACATTAACTGATATTGAATTATAGCAGTTAAATAAGTTGAGAAGGGGATCATTATCAGCAGTTAGTTATTAATATGGAAACAATGATAATGGTGCATAACTATTTAGAATTCTCACTGCCTCAAAATAATGCATCAAAAATTTATTGCTCCAATCAGTTGTTTGCTTTGTCTTGCATCAGCTTGACTATTTGAATAAAATATTTTCTTTCAATAGTTATACACTATCTACCAGAAAGTAATTGGACACCTGTGATAGAACAGAAAGACAAAGTTTATTCATTGTCAATAGTTGATAGAACCTCCACAGGCAGAGATTACAGCTGCGACCGTTCGGGGCATACTCTCCACTAGTCCTTGTATGACAACTGGCAGTATTTTCTTCCACTTGGCTTGGAGAAGATATACAAATTCC